CCACCTCTTCTGATGTGCTTTTGGGGCACTGTCTGTGACACATCCCACCTCAACCACCCATCCCAGTGCTCATCCTGAGGACAGCATGCAGGGGAGGATGTGCCTGGAGTCAGGACAGAGAATGGCAGCTCCCAGAACAGTAATCTGGGTGGATGAATGCTGGAGGGGCATCCTGGGGGGATAATAGCCACAATAATGCTGAGGGGACATAAAAGCTCTTCATGCAATGTTATGAAGGAATGAAAACTCTGGCAGAACAATTAGACTGTAATTATGGGTTATTTAATATTCTGTGACATCTAAATGTCAACACCATAACTCTGTAACAACAAGCACTTGGTACAGCACACTCTGCACACCTGAGCACAGCCCTGGGAGAGCACAGCAGCCTCCAGCTCTGCTCCTGCTCCCCATCCATGCAGGCAGAGCCATGCCATGCAGCAGGGAGGAAACACGAGCCCACTCTCACTTGGTGTCAAGGTCTGGGCTTATGCCATGGCTGGATGTCACACCAAGCAGGTGTGACAAAATGGAGGGGACAAAATGCTCCAAGTCCTTGGTTGGCACTGGTGCAAACAGCCAGGAAACGTTGGAAATGGTGTCTGTAAAGTTCTTAATCACTGAGCTCCATCCCTGCATGTACACAGCTGACTAGGGCATAAAAGGATAGAAAAAAGCCTGACTAAAGCTGACCTCTCTGGTCCTGCTGCTGCAGATCTTCCCCCCAAAATGTCTCTGTTCCATCAGCCTTCACCCCTCAGAGCTGCTCTGGTTAGTCTGAAGGAAAAGATGGTGAAATTTCAGCAGCTCTTACTGCTCAGGGGCCTCCACCCAATTTGTGGTTTTTAGTTTTTTCTGTGTGCATTGCTCATTGCAGTGTCCAAGCAGAGGGCAAATCTTTCCCTGCTCTTAGAGGAATTTATTCTAATGCCAGAGAAATCTCCTTCCTTCCATCAGCCCCAGCAAGAGCACCATAGTCACCTCCTGCAGAGCCCAGAACCACACATGCATCACCAGCTGCTCCTGAGAGAGCAAAACTCACATGGTTTTAGGCATCTGTTTTTAGGAAAGGTCTAGATGGGACCAAAGTTCCTCCCTCCCTCACTGGGTTGTGAACCTGGCGTTGCTGATGCCCTGGCAGTGCAGAGCACAAAGCATTGAGCACAGGGAATGTTTCTTCCCTCTCCTGGTAAAAGGAAAAGCTGATTCATCCCATCCCAGTCACAACCTTGGCTTGACCTGCTCCCTCCTATAATTCACAGAGTTCCCACTTTATTGTCGGAACAGCTTAATTCCTGATGCAAAAGAAGAAGCTTTCAGCCTTTCAACTTGGCTGCTTCAGTTTTTCAATCTACCTCAAATGAAAACCTCTCATCCAAGCTATGGATCACGCCTGGCTAGTCAGACCCCTGGCCTTTTCATTTTAAATCTCTTGGGAAATAAATTCACAGAATTGGTCTCTCTCCCTTCTCACATATGACAGCATCTCCCCAGGTTTCCAGGTGGGATGAGGAATTACGAAGTGTTCAACTGGAAAAGCACCTAGGTAAGAAATGTGTGAAATCCTGGTACTTCTTCATGTTCAGTTTGTATGTTGAAAACATTTCTTCTGGCAATTTAGTCTTTGCTCATCAGCAAAGAAATAGAGAACTGCCTCTGCCTCAGTCCTTGGGAAGGGCTTGGGATGGAGGGGAGCTGACTCCATTTCCTCAGCTTCTCCTCAATGTGCCAATGTTGTCCTGTGAACCCCTGGGGTTTCTTTTTGAAGTTACACATCTCAGGGCTTCTCTGAGTACCTGCACACTGAGAATCAGTGATGTGCTCAGAGTTCAGGAAATCAGGGGACTGAGAAACATGCCTGGAGGATTATTGGTTTCTGTACCCACATTCCAGCTTCTAGCAGCCTTCTGGGATAACCAGTGTTGCTTCTACCTCATTTCCACTGGTTGTGTTGCAGGCTGAAAGCCAATTACTAACAATTTGGAAATTTTCTATTGCAAAATAGAGGCATTGAGTTCAGAGTGAAACCCTGACACAATCTGCAACTGAAAGAGCTAGAATTTGAGAAACTCCCACTATGAATCATATGCACAATGCTATGAAGTAGGTTTTTGCTTTTATTAATGTCCAGTAATATTTCCTTTTCTAAAATTTGTGCATGGAACTGTCTCTTCTCCATTGCAATTACAGTGCAAATACTCTAGATAGGATAAATGAAATAAAAGTGGAGTTTGCTTAAAAATCAGAAAATGCTTCTGGAGAAAGGTTTTTGTTTGCTTGCCTGTCTGCTCTGGTAGATGCAGATTTGTGGCTGTGAATGAGATCTTTCCTAGAGACTGTCTGAGCTGGATTATTTACTTGCACCTCAGCATATTAAGTCCATTCATTCTTGCCTTCCAGCCAGCCATGAGCAGGAACTTAGTATATGCTTTACCTAATATACCTGAGGCTGAGGAAATGGAGTCAGTTCAGCTCCATCCCTTCACTAAAATACACCACAAAATTCCAAGGGAATCAGGGGCTTCAAGGTAGAACTTGTCCTATGTGTGAGTGTCTTTCTGTCCCTGGGTTTGCAGTGGAGAAAAAAGCAATCCATGGGCTTTTCACTCTTGTGATTAAAATTTTTATCTAGATAATTATGAAGCCTCAAATCTCAGTAAGTGCAAAGAAGAAACCAGGCAAGCAAAACTGTGTGTCCTTCCAGGCTGACAGCCCCTGACATGGTGTAACCCCGGGGAAGAATGGCAGCTGTGGGCACAGATCCAGGGCCACATCTCCTGGTGGCAGCTGCAGCAGATGTGAGTGGGTGACAATTCCCTGGCAGCAGGGCCATGGCATCAGCAAAGCTGGGGCCTGGCACTGGCACCACAGCCAGGGAGTTTGGAGCCCATCACCAAAAGTTCCCCAGCCCCCTTGGGGCACCCCAGCCCACACCAACCTCTAACCCCAAATTTTCAACTTCACCAGCACCCAAACCCAGGAGCCAGGGGTGCTGAAACACTTCCCTGCAGCCAGGGACAGCTGGAAGGAGCAGCACTGACCAGCAGGGATGATCCCAGGGAGGGGTGGACAGTGACACAGGACAAAGCCTTGCTCCCCATTTCCTCTGCCTGTGGGAGGGGAGGGATGTGCTGTGTGAAAACTAAGAGCCCTAATGAGCAGGAGTGAGGGTGTGAGTGTGGAGGGGCTCTGAGGGATGAAAATCCCTCAGCAAATAATGAGACTTGTACATTGGTTCTACTTAATAAAAAATATGTGAATAAATTAACATTTCCTGCTGGATAATTTGCTCAGTATTTCTCTCTTGTACCATCAAGCAAACCTTGGCAAGGCAGCTCACCCCTCCAGTGGGCAATACAGCTTTATAATGGCAATGTTTTCTATTTTGTCACACCTTTATCTGGCTGAACAATGCCTCTCAGGGCAGCAGAGCAATTTCCAGCAGCTCTGCCTCCTCTGTCTGGGGAAAACAAGACAGCCCAATTCGGCACCAGGGACAACATGGCTGATGTCAAAAAGATAAGTCTTCCTGAGGAAAATCTCCTTTTCAAGCTGTTCTTGTTGGAAGACAACATGCTGCTGGGATGGTTTGCTGTCTGAAGGGCTTCTCTCCTCCCAGCTATTTGAACCCTCAGCTCCAGATAATTTTAGCTACTCAGTGGAAATCTTTTTGCTTTCACCCAAACAGAAGAGCACAGGGCATTTTCTACAGAAACACCATGACAAAGTCCACAGTTGCTGTAGAGGCACAAAGGTGCTTGGATTAATCAACAGAACAACAGGACATTAAAAACCCCAGGGAGATGAATTCACTAGGGTTTTGTAAGACAGATGCTTAAAAAATACAATTCAAACATACTTGTTTCAAGTACCACAGAAGATGAGAAAATTTAGTGCATCTGGAAGCAGCTACCACTTAATTTCTGTCATTTAATCTCATTGAGGTGCATTATGTCAAATAATTACCTTAGTGAAGACTTTAATGGAGGAAGGGAGGATAATAATAGACATGCTTTGAAGAAATGAAGCTGTGAAGTTGCTTAGTTTTTAACCTGGTCAGGATTTATCTCCCTCTCCTCTGGCTCCTACAGAGGTGTCCACTCTGTCTCTCCATCAAAAATAACACATTTCAGATGCTGTCCAAGTGTTGCATTTATGAGTTCAGACACAATAACAAAGTTTCTGAGCTTGAAACAACCCAAGAGCCCAATGTGAAGTCCAACCATTAGCCCAGCACTGCCAAGGGACTATTAAAACATGTCCCCAGCTCCACATCTATGTGTCATTTAAATCCCTCCAGAAATGGTGACCCTACCACTACCCTGAGCAGCCTCTGCCAGTGCTTGGTAAATCTTTAACAATTTTTTCCAATATCAAATCTAAACCTCTTCTGACACAATTTGAGGCTGTTTTCTCTCATCTTATCACTTCTTTGTTAAGGAGATTGACACCCAAATTGACCTTTATTGACTGTTCTCATTCTCTCTGAGGTCCTGCAGCTACTTTATTTATATTTCATTTTGAACAGCAATTTTGAAGAGATTTTGTAAAGCCCTCATGTGCTGATTTCCACCACCCATGCCCAGGACATGCCCCTCATGGTCATATTAATCTTGAATTTAATTCAGCAGGCTGAAGTGACACTTTCTTTGGTGAATAAACTATATTCTAAATTTATCTGGTTTACCCAGGTTTCTGTGCACAAAACCTGAAATGAACAACTCATTGAAAATTAAATTAATCAAGTCAAATGACTTGTCCTTTTTTTTTGCCTGAAGGTATAACTTAACAAAGAAAGGCATCTGTACTTCTTCCAGCACAGATGTGGTGGAGAAGGTAAATGAGCTCCTCCCAGACCCCAACTCTTATCTATTTCTCAGTTAGCCTTGTCTAGTGCTGCAGATATGCAACAGCTGACTCCATGCCTTCTTCTAGATATTAAAATAACACAAAAGAAGGAAATGTAGCCCATTTTTCTCAAATTAATGCAAAAATGTGATATTTCAACTTTTTTCTTCTTTTTTTTTAGTATTTTTTCCCCAAGCTCCAAACACTTCTCTAACTCTGGAAAAACAAATGTTTGTTCCTGTGGCAGAAGCCTGTGCTGTGGTATCAGACATCCCCTTTCAGAGAGTTTTGCTCCTTCCTGTGCCTCCTGGAGAGTTTCCTGTACAGGTGGAGCGCTCTCTTCTCCTCCTGGCTCTGGAAGAAGGAGGCGGCGATGCTGCGGCACAGGCGCCGCGCGAAGGTTTCCAGGAACACGGTGCCATAGAGGATGCAGAAGAGCAGCCCCACCACGAGCAGCACAGAGGGCTTGGGAGGCGTGGGGGGGCTGATCCTGCAGTGGGCAGAGCTGAAGAGCAGATGATGGTGGTAGGTCTTGTTGAAGTCACTGAGCAGCAATGCCTCAGAAGGACGCCAGAAGATTTTGAATAGAAAGGGCATGATCCCTACTTCAGCCTGAAATAAAGAGGGTTAAAATGTAAATGGGGAGGGAAGACACCAAAACCAACTGATTACTACAGAAATATCTGCCTGGGGGTGTGGAGTCACTGTTAGAGCACAAGAGAAGGACACTGAAGGGTCTGATCACTTCAGGAGTAACAGTGCAATGTGTAGGTACTGAGCACTGGGCAGGGTGAGAGCCAGTCCTATCTGTCATCTTCATCCACTGGAACAGACACCAAAACAGGCATTCCCTGTGTGAGATTTATGGTGAAAGACACCATCCAGACCATGGGATTACTGGCTGAATATCTGAATATTAGAGACTTTTTCTAAGCCCTGACTGTTTTCCTGTAATTCCACTGTAAGCAGGTATCTGCACTACGGATCCTGGGCTGGGGAAGGGGGCAAGCTGTGTGGCAGAAGAGGAAAGTTAAAACGCCAAACCAAAGAATATTGAATTAGAAACAGGGGGAGTTTGTGGGAGGGATTGCAGAGGGCAACAACAAAGCCAGCAAGCAGGGATTTCTACTGAAATGCCCACGCAATGGGATGAGGAGACATTCTCAGCGTTCACCAGCTGCCCTGAGCAGCTGAGGTTGTGCCACTGCCTCCTCCCCCAAGGGCTGCTGCTCATCCCACTGGCTGCTGGGGAGGGAAGTCAGGATTGTGTAAATAAGAGTACAAAGACTGCAATCCCCACCATTGAATGGACTCAGAGTGGGGTCCCCACACAGGGCAGGGCAGGGCAGGACACCCCAGCTCTCACCTTGTATTTGATGCTGAGGGTGACGGGCACGGCGGAGAACTGAGCTGCCTTTCTCACTGCCGTGTCTGCCACGCTGAACGCAAAGTGGTCCATGGCCACCACCACCAGCATCAGCATCAGGGCCACCGTGACCAGCATGGCTTGCACGAGGCACAGCACCACTTCTTCCCTGGACAGCTTCAAGCCTGTAGGTCGGATGAGTTTTTTGGATGAGCCCACCAGGAGATGAGCTGCTCTTCTGTCCACGGCTAAACGTTCCAGCTTCTTGGTGATGTAAAAATTGTCAAAGCTGAGGTTGGTGAGATAATTTTTCAAATACCAGGTGGACTCAAAACAGAGATAGAGCATGAAGAAACCAGCAGCCAGTCTGTTGGCTACTCGTACAGAGTCTTTGACCAGTACCTCAGCAGACAAGAACTCTCTGCTAATTTTTTCACCAGCAAGGTGCATTTTTTGGTAAATCAAGGAGCTGTTCTGAAGCAATGAAAAGCGAAAATGTCCATTCATAGGCTTATGCATGGAAGGAATGGCTTCTTGGACTGCATCCCCAAACTCCCAGGAAACTTTCTCTAGCAAGGCCGTTGAGTTCAGAAGGCTGTCAGAGGAATTTTTGCAGATGCACTGAATCACCTGCAGTATGGTTTTAATGTTGCTTATGATGTTGGGTGTTATGTTCACCGCTGCGATCATGATGCAGGTCGAGAAGAGAAGCTTCCGGCCCTGCTTGGTGCCCAACGTGGGCATGATCATGCTGAAGACACAACGGGCAGGGTGCACCAAAAGGAGAGTCAGGAGAAGGAGCAGGCTGAAGGAGATGGCCATGGCAATGGAGAGGTGCCAGGAGTACTCCAGGGAAGCAAACATCCAGTTGTAAAAGAGGCCTCCTATCACTGCTGTAATGCAGGAACACTGCAGAAACAAGGTCCATAGCTCTCTGCCATTTGCTGGGACAGGTTTGGAGTAAATCCACCACAGGTCTGCCATAGTTCTGTGCACCTTTGGGAACAGAAAGTCTTCACAGTAAACACGAGCTCTCACCCTGCAAAAACAAGTACCTGTGTGTTAGCAGAGGAAGTTCCTAAACACTGATTAGGGGACTTTCTTGAGATGATCACTTAGGGGGGTTTATATTGTCCTCCTCTGGGTGCCTCTGGTCTCACCCTTCTCCACTTCCCTGCTAACTTCCCTGAGTAGCTGGGGCTGAGATCTCCCCTGGAAGCAGCAGGACAGGTTTATTGAAAAATAAATCCTAAGTGTGATGCAACTATTCCTCTATTAATGCAAGCACAGGAAAACATTGTGTTATTCTATAAAAACCATAACAGATTCTGAGGGGTCACCTCATTGACAGTGGTTGAGGCTTTAATGCTTACTTAGAGGATGTTGGAGGAAAGAGGAGGCTACTGGCTTCTGTGGAAATGGTTAGACCAGCTCTGTATTTCAAAGGTTTTACATGGACAAGAAGCAGTTGAATGGTGCTCTTCCTGCCTCTTAAAAGGAGGCCAAGCACAAATCTACATGTTTAAGGGTGACAAACAGAGAAAACAGTTTCACACTGAAGCTGCAGTGCCAGAGGAACTCTCCAAGGAAAAGAATTTGGCCACTACATATAGGATGAGATGTCCCATAAAGCTATGCAAATGTCTAATTGAAACAAACATTTGGGAAAAAATATCATTTCTCAGGTCTCACATCTGGAGTGACTCTTCATAAACCAGAAAACCTGTAGGGGAGAAGAGCCTGGCCCGAGGGTTAAACCCAGCCAGGCAATCTTAGTCTCCCACTGCTGGACACCAGCCTCAGCTATCCTTTGAGGGACAATTTTAACTAGGAAAGAGGGTTTTCTGTGAAAAAGCCATACAATAGCTATCAAGACAGAGGAACAGACAGGGATAAAGCTGTCTCTACGTACCCAGTGGCAGTGAGGTGCCCCAGACTTGCCCGAAAACTTTCCATGTTCCAGTGCCTTCTTGCTCTGAGAGAGGATCCTGGATGTGGCTGTTGGGAGAGGCAGGGTAGGAAACCAAGGCAGCACCAAAGAACCAGGGCTCAAAACCCAGGATGTTTTAAGAGATCAGCAGCACTGGCAATCCCTGAAGTGTGCAAAACCTGGAGAGTGAAGCCTGGGGAATAACAGCACCACAGAACAGTGCCAGGATGCACAGCACTGCTTGGGCTTTACACTTTTTCTGGTCTTATCCTTATTGCAGAGAAGGCTTATTTTAATGACACGTAGGTGAAAAAAAATTAGTCAGTGACACATGGGCTGACGAAGATGGAACAAGGATCATATGGAACCTGGGGTGTCATCATTCCATGTGGGGAAATCAGATGACTACTCCTCACACTGCCCACTAGCAAGCAGGGCTGGCATCTCTCTCAGAGTGAAAGGGACCTTTTCCTCTTTCAGACATCAGTCATGGCACAAAAGGCACAGCAGGATTCAGCAACCCAGTTGGTAACTGCTCATCAGTTCTGGCAGGCTGCTGCTTCCTGCTGAAACTGTGTGCAGGGCTCACAAATGGCTTCAAGACTCTTCTCACAGCCCTAGCAGAGGAAGAGGAAGTTTCAGTCTTGAACCTTTCTGAATTCCCAGTAGCCAGCAAATCCACTGCAGAGAAAACCCAGCCACAGTCAGGATTTCCAAAGTGTTGAGAAGCTCCCAGATGTACAGGCCAGGACGTGCAGTCCCCAAGGGACCAACCTGCCTGGCCCCCAGGATGTGCCCAGCAGAGCTCCAGCCACCAACCCTGCTCACCTGGAGATGGGGACCAGCCACAGTGTTTGCTCCTCAGTGATGAGCTCAGGGGTTACAGGAGCCTTCCCTGGCTCCCACCAAACCTGCCCCTTGGCCAGATGCTCCCATGCTAAGCCACCACTTGTGGGCAAAGGTGACACAGTCACCCAGCTGCCATGGAGCCCATCCCCTAAGGGGACCCGCTGTCCCAAGCCAAGCCCTCCCACCAACTGGGAACCACCCGGGGTGTTCTCATGCTCCCCTGGGTGGGAAAGGGCAAAGGGCTCAAGGTCAGCCCTGTCCCAGCACCTTCCCTGGGGACGTGGCTGGATCCCACAGCAGTGGCAGGAACTGGAGGACAAGGAATGACGAGCATAGAAGGCAGAGCAAACCTCTGCCTGCTTCCTCTGCCCTTCCTGCAGGAAGCAGGTCCCTTGTGCCCTTGCTGCTCCACTCAGCAGCTCCATTTTATAGCTGAGGGTTTTGTTTTTCCTGTGTGCCTGGTGGAGCAAAGCTTTCCTCGTGGTGCCCTGGAGCACAGGGGCCAGATGGGAAACTCTGCCTGGCTCCAGCTGGGAAGAGGCACCAGCCAGGCGGGCAGGAAAGAAAGTGCTGTTTGTTTGGAGCATCCATAGCAATTGCTTGCACAGGCCATGAATTAGGTCTTTAATTCAATGTGCACACTGGAAGGGACTAACCCAAAGACCCATAGTTGGGTCCTGCAAGGCTCATCAGCTTCTTCTACAACTAAACTCCTTTCTTGTTCTACTTCAGGGTGAACTGGTGTTAGCATCAGCCCCTGGGACCCCATCCAGGCTATGCAGGCAGCTTTCTGGGGCAGAAAAAGAAATAAATTTAGCAATAGGCTATAAAGAACAAAAGCCTCTCAAGTCTGCAACATTGTGGTGTTTTCTGAGTCTGCTACACCATCTGGCAAAGGCACCTGGGGTCTGTGGGACACTGAGCAGTAACTCTGGCAGCCCCAAGAAGTGTTTGTTTGAACTTAGATTTTTTTCCTCTGTCTCTATCAAAATTGTTGTCTGTCAGCTGGACCTACAGCAAGGGCATAAATCTGTGAAAGCTTTGAGTTTATACTGTGAACAACCCATAAGTGAGCTAGAAACCTAAATGCCTTACCTTGCTCAGAATACAATGAAGAATATTGTTTTGCCAAAAAAAAAACAAAAAAAAAAAAAACAAAAAAACCACAGCAGCAACAAAAAACCTGAATACCAGCATGTGTGTTCATAGGGATACCTGGGAGATGAAGGCTGGGAGTGGGAAAGGGACAGGACCACACATCGCAGCAAAGCAACTGTGACATCTTGTGGTCACACTCTGCTCAAGGACCCTGAGGTCTGGCTCATTTTGGTTCTGCAAAAAAAATACTCTGTGGTTGGGAGAGTTCAGAGATAAGGAGGAACACTGTCCTCCCGGGATGCTCCAAGGTGCCTTTTCCCACCCTGTGTCGTTTCCAGATGGTAGAAAAGGAATTTGCTTTCTTGACGAGCTCCAGTCTCTGTAGAGCCCAAGCTCTAAAATTTTATAACATCACCAATTTTGATCTTTTAACACTACAGGAGGAACCTGAGCCCCACATGGCTGTGAGCAGCTTGCTGGAAGTGTGAGACAGCAGAGAATTCCTTTGGCATCATTGCCAGGAATCAGAGCCTGGCTTTACCTGGAGTAGGGATGAGCACTGAGCTTGTACTCACCAGGACAGGGATTTAAATTCAGTTCTGAGTGCAGACTGCAGTGTTTGGGGTGGTGCCAAGACACCTGCAAGTTCAGCCTGTGGTGACAGTGTCACCTTGTCACGGTGACAGGGATGAGGGGGGTGTGCAACGCTGTATCCCAGGCAGAGGGTAGGCTAAATGAACTATACAGCTTCAGAAAATGGCTGGAGAAAGAAAATAAACGAAGGGCTAAAATATAATTATTTAAGTCTGAAGATAATTCTTCATGGCAGTATCATCAGCACCTGTTGATCATGTTATTCTGCCCATTTAAGAACTTGATGATGTGAGAAAGGTTAACTAATTAGGGGTGGCTCTTTTTTTGTTAAAATCACTTGCAAATGAAAGACAGTAACACAGAGCCAGATCATGTCTTCTTAGGTTACTACTGTAGAAATATAGAAAAATCCCAGCAATATCCTTTATGAGGGATAAATGTGGTAAGGGAAACAAGGCTATCTGACCTGTAATAACTAAATTCCCTATCATGCTGGACTTTCATTTGTTTCACGACTCTTTTCCTGCCTCTCCTGAAATTCCAGCATCGCTGCTGAGTGCAAACTGAGGAGCACAGCTCTGGAATCACTCCCTGCTGTAAGGACCCACAGAGCAGCTCCTCTGTGTGAACAGTTTGTAAAGCAACTCAAATGCTTCTGGGATAAAAGACAACGATGAAATGCTTTTCTACTATAAATAAACTAACATTATTTTCTTCCAAATGTCTCAGGAGAACATATGGATGTTAGTCCAGGACTTGATGGGGAACATCAAAGGAGTAAAGCAGAGATATTCTGGATGTTGAATTTCAATGAGTGGCATTTCCTGTTAATTAAAATTCACAAGGAGGCTGCTAATGTGAATGGCTTTTGTGATGGTTGTTGGATTTTTACATTCCTAGAGAAATGGTGCATAGGCAAACAAGGTTCCATTGAAATAACACAGTCAAAGTTATAGAAGGTTACTACAGCACTTGAAATACCCTTTCCTGGGAATTTTCATATCTCTACACATATCACAGACCCTTCAAGACTAATGGGGTTGACTTGCCATTAAAGGCTGCTTTTGGCAAATCGACTAGCAGCAGCAAATGGAATCAGAAAATATTCATGCAGGCCTGTTCACCTTTGAACCCCAGATATAATAAATCTTAAAATCTCAGCTTAAAAAAAATCATTAAAACTCAAGCATGCCAGACTAGTCTTACTCTCACAGAGGCCTGGGTATAAAAGAGCAGAATTGGGTAATGCTATCGTCCACATGCCTTAAATCAGATCCTCTGGGGAGCCCTGGGAAACACAGGGGCTTCAGACAGAGCTGGCAAACACGTCTTGGACTAAAGAGGTTTAGGATCCAGGTGCTTCTTACACCTTTCCCAGGTGTGCCAAGGCCTCATTGTGGACCTTGGTAAATCACTGGTCCCCTCTCTGCCTCAGTTTCCCACGTTGGCACAGAGATCACAACCCTGCCCTGGCTGCATTTGTGCAATACTTCCTGGTCCCTGGATAGACAATGCCACAGGCATGCCAGGACACTGGAAGTGATTTTTGGAGACTACTACACAAACTCAGCTCTGCTTTCAAGCCAAAGAAAACCATCCTGGATTCGATCACCTAGGATGCACCAAGTCAGAGCTGAGACCATAAACAAACCTGCAGCCCCAACACCTGAGAGGGAGCAGGACTGGGTGTTACCCTTTGGAACTGGGTGATCCCAGAGCCCTTGCTGCCTGTCCTCCAGGCTGCAGGGACAGAGCAGCTCTGTGCCTGTGGATGATGAGCATCCCTGCAGCAGCAGCGGCTCAGGGCAGCGGGACCGCGGGGCTCCTTCCTGTGGGCACAGCCTGTTCCCTGTTCCCTGTTTGTTCCCCGTTTGTTCCCCGTTTGTTCCCTGTTTGTTCCCTGTTTGTTCCCTGTTCCCTGGCCCGGGACAGCAATCCTGTGCTGTTCACGGACAGCTGGCTGAGAAAGCAAACTGCAGGGAGCAATTTTCCCTTCCCATTCAGCCCACCTTTGCTAAGGCATGACGAGGAGCATCCAAGCAGAACGGCAGTGCCCAAACCCAGCCCAGCCCAGCAGACAGGGATCTGGGCTATGCTCAAAGGCTCATGAGCAGAGCAGCCCTGAGATGCTGGGCCAGGGGTTTTCCCATTGCTCCACTGTTTAACACTGCTCTCCTGCTCCTCCTGGAGATCCACTGCTCAAATCAAGGATGAAGCTGGAGCAAGGGGAGGCTTGGGCTTTGTTTTCCTCCCCTCAAACTACAGAGCAAACAGGACCATGTGACATGCTAACCAACGTGCTTTATTTTAAGTTTTCCACAATTATTAAGGATTTTGTTTGAACATTAAGGATATTTTTTTTTTTAAAAGCGTGATTGATCAAAGTTTCACATTCAATTGGTTTTGGCAATTTCAGATCAACTCCTTCGAGTTCCCACCTGTCAGATCACCCCAGGGTGACCCCCATAAGGTAACCCCTGCAGCATCAGCTGGTGAACATCTCCCTGCCAGCCCTCCTACCTGACCCTGGGGGTTATCAGCAGCACAGGAGCAGGGGGATACACTGGATCCCTACCCTGGGCCAGTTCATCTTGTCAGCACCACCAATTTACATTGTCAGAGAAACTGGTCCCAGCACAGGGATCCAGTCATTCACCTTCCATAAAACAGGAATCAGATCTTTTATCATTCAATCATTAATTTCAATGACTGACGATTTAAGTTTAATATCTTATATTCTTACAGAAAATAAAAATAATTGGATAAAATGGTGATTAAAATCACAGTCAATTTGCAATGCTTTCATTGAAAGTAACCCAAGCAATCTGATTTAAAAAGACGTTAAGAATCAAAGCCTATTTTTTAAGAAATGTCAATAATATTCCAATGCAACTTGTCCACTGACCTGTGACTCAGCGGGTCATTTGTGAGTGAGTAAATCTCACAGCCTAAGACTGGCCACAGTTAGCAATGGTGAAACACCACCAATGTCCAGAGTTACGTCAGAAATTCATTTGGTCCCAAACCCCCATCCGTGTACTCAGTGCAAAGAACCAGGCAGCAATCGCTGTCCCAGGTTTTCAAACCATAGAACATGTTTGGAAACAAACTGTGGCCTTCCAGTTTCCAAAGCATGGAGCAATGCACTGAGTCCTACCAACACATCTCCTGAGTCATCCCTTCACACACAAACGTGAAGAAATGGTCTTCATCCTCCATGAGAGAATTACTCATGAGATAGCAACGAGACCCCAGCCTCACACCCTGCCAGAAGCACCCGGCCACGCCGCCTTCTCCCTGGCCAGATTCTGATTCACTCACTCACATTGGGTTGCACATAAATAATCCAGTTGCCTCCACCCTGTTGCCAGGGCTGCTTTCCAAAACGAGGTAGGGTATCAGAAGCTTGAGCAGCAAAGCTCGTCAGCTCTCATGGGGGGACAGGCATCTACCCAAAGATGCTCCATGCTTACAGGTTGTCCATTTAACAACCACCTGTGACAGAAGGACTCTGGAAGAGTCAGATTTGTACCTGCAAAAGGTGGGGAAAGATCTCCAGAGACAATAACAAATGGATGTTGGGGCACTGACCAGAATTTCTAAAAATAAAATTAAACCAGAAGGTCCCACACAGTGTGAGTGGCCACGTGGTTTTTCCTCCTGTGCAAACTCTGATGATTCCAGTGCCCCAGTCCTAAGTGAGTGAGTCCTTCCCCGGGGGTGGCTTTGTTCATATTTTATTTAGTGCACTTAAAGTGACATTTTCTACAGCTGTCACAAGTGAGGTGGCATTTTCTGCATGGATGTTGGCCCATGCAGGGAAGGTCCCCAGCTGGAAGATGCTCTTGGCCCATGTGTTCATAGCCAAGCTAAGAAGCAGAACTCCCATAAGATTCATGAGCAACCCAGTTCTTGCCTACAAAAGAAATACAAAGACAGCTGTTGAGTTTAGGCTGGACATCTACAGCATGTGAAGCATGAAGCTATTTGAATGCAAACATAATAAAAAATGGAAGGCTTAATTGCTGTTAATATTAGCAACATTTTAAGCAGGCTTAAAGCCACAAAGGCCATTCTGCAGCTGCTTACCAAGCTTTGATCCATCAAAAACATTAACATCTGTTTTGCCTCAGGAATGTGACCAGGAACTGGGACTAAGCCTAAGTTTACTCATAAGCTTTGTTTCACTGAGCTGGGGAAAATTTCCTGCATCCAGAAACCTATGAAAGTTGAGCTGTTGACACTAGAGAAACAGGACAAGGGGCTGGGGAATGCTGACCACATTCAAGACCACTTTTGTCACTATTTGGAACCATGGTGGCTCCAAATTTCAACTTCATGCAAGTTCCTTCCTTCAAATACTGTGCCTTCAAATACTGTGCCTTCAAATACTGTTGAGAACAGTATCAGACTTCTGTCTTCTCTTTTTACTACATATTGAGTACTAACAATGCAGAAAAAAACCCCTTCTTTAAACACTCAGGCTGATTGTCTTCATCATTTTATGTATCTAAAGGAACTTACCATATCCTTGACCATCAAATGTCCAGAGGAAAAAGCAATTGAGTTAGGAGGTGTTGAGACTGGCAACATGAATGCATAGGAGCATCCTATAGTTCCTGGTATCATTAAATAGAGGGGATTCACTTTCAGACGAATGGCCTGGAAAACCAGAAAGGAACAGAAATTCAGCCTTGGGGATTTGAGCTGCCAACAGATGAACCAAAGGATGCAAATAGCCAGTGTGCTGTGCACAGCCCTATCCCACACTCTGTAATAACTGATCACATCTCTCACAACAAAGTCTGAAGGATTATTATCCTTCTGTGCCCACATTATGCTACTGGACTTGCTTCTTCCAAGGTTTTTGAAGAGCCTGAAACCCAGGAGTAGGAAAATCCCCCAGTGCCTGTCCCAGCACAGACCCAACACAAACCTGCCCACCCGAGGGGCAGGGAAAGGAGGGGGCAGAGGAGGACCTGCTCTTGCCATGGGATGGCCTTACCAGCTCTGCCAAGACAGGCAGAAAGATGATAATAGTGGCAGTGTTGCTGGCAAATTCCGTGAACAAGGCAATGACAACCGTGATGAGGATGACAGCCACAGGAGGTGGCACACCCTCCAAGGGATGCAGACGGCCTCCTATCCACACAGACAAGCCAGACTCCTGCAGAAAGGAGAGTAAAAACAGGAGTCATCCTCCTGCATCCCTGCAGGGGAACTGGTCCTCTCTTAGAACTCGTCCTCAGGGTGCCTCACAGCAAGCAGCTTGCAAGGAGTTGTAGCCCCCTTAGCTGTCTGCTGTGTATTGTTGTCACTTGGAGTTAACAAATACATCCTTTGAACGTGATAACTCCATTGATACAAGTTTTCCAAAGCCAAATGAGAAGACCAAGTGACTCCCTGATAAGATCCAACCCTGCTGGGCAGGATGATGCCACATGGCATCTGCTGTGGGCTCACCTCACAGCCCTTGGCCATGGCAAATCCTCCTCCAAGCAGCAGGATGATGTTCCAGGGCACCGTCTCCTGGGCCTTCCTCCAAGTCAGCAAGGGCTGGGTCTCTGTGTTTGGTGCTGGGCAAAGAGGAAAGGCCTGTGTCAAACACCCACCCAAAGAGGAGCATCAGCCATCGCCTGACTGAACAACACCGTGAGTCTGACAGCAGGGCTCAAGTTCACTGACCATGTGCTGCTGATCAAATACACACATGGAGTGTCTTGAGTTAGCCAGCTAAAGGAGCATTGCGCTTAGTATCAGATGTAAAAATAAAAATCCAAAAACATTCTAGCAGTAAAGTTTTCTTTGAGGCTTTCTCGATTTAATATTTAATATTAAGTTAATCTTCTCTCTGTAACAGACATAAACGGAGGTCCATAGAAGGATGAAATTTTCTGCCACTTGAATAAAAGATGTTATTCATTTTCCATTTGTTATTCAACAGCCAGTGAGTTTTACAGCAGAAAGCTCATTTCCCCTAAAAGCTATTTCTTAATACGTGATAAAGTGAGCTCTGTTCTATGGAAGGATGCACTAACGGAACTGAAATTTTCAGTTGAAAAAGGGCACATATTTTATCCACAGGAGGCCTGATAAAACATCTTCCTGTGTATGGACAACACAACAAATGTGCATAACTCAGAGCAGCTGCTATTTTGTTCCCACAGATCCCAGGCGATTCTCCATCATCCATCCAAAGGCCTTAGGTACTTCTCCCCATTCAGATAATCTCTTATTCCAAGAAGTTTGTGAATTAAAATT